ACTTTAAGTCTTGGTCATTATTATCTAGTGTTTTCTTCCATGTTTGATTCAAATACATACAACATTGGGCAGCTGATTAAGCTTGAGTTTTAATGAATTAGAAATGTTGGTTTTTATATTTTATATCTTCTGCAGTTCACATCAGCTACATTATACTATGTGATGACAGCCAAATACATCTATAAGTCAGAATTTTGTCATTTGGGGCCATCCACCACAGTTGAGGAATCAGGAAATGAAATACAGTTGACTCTTGAATAACATGGGGAGGTAGGGGTACCAACCTGCTATGCAGTCAAAAGTCCATGTATAATTTTTGACTCTCCAAAACTTAATTACTAATAGCCTACTGTTGACCAGAAGCCTTACCAATAACATAAACAGTTCATTAACATACTTCCTATAGGTATTGTTTACATTTCTCTTGACTGCAAATGGCGCCATGTACAATCTGTGTTTGTGTGTAATGTATATTTTATGATAATGATAAAATAGACTGGGATCTACATGTATTTTATGCTTTCATAACATACCTCTTTTTCTTAGTTTTTTCAATGTTTCTAGGCTATGCAGTTCATTGTTTTCTTAATTGTTGCAAATCTCCAAAAAATTTTCCAAGATATTTATTGAAAAAAATCCACATATAAGTGGACCTGTGCAGTTCAAACATGTGTTGTTCAAGGGTCACCTGTAGTCTCAAAGCGACTGTGGAGCTTCCAGAATAACAATCCCAGTGCCAACGTACTTTATTTTGTTAGGGAGAATACGTACACAAAGTAAGCTACATTTTAGAAGCTGTAAGTATTCATTAACAAAAAGAAGAGGTGATAGCCGAGAACAGTAACAATGAGAGGGAAGTACAGAGCAATTTAAAACAGGGGTAAGAGCCTTATTTTATTACTTCTGAATTTTCAAGGCAACACACCTCACTGATAAGTGTTTATAAGTCTCATTCTGTACCATCCAGAAGGTGCTATGTTGTGGTTAATATACATTCTTTAATGTAGTAGAACAGTGTCCATTATAGAAGACAAGCATGAAGATGATTATATTAAAATACATATTAGGGCATTTAATACACAAGTTCAGTTTTTTGTAAAATTAATTTAGGCAGTACATCTCATTTCATAGTGAGTATTCTTCAAAGTCCAAAGCCTGATTTTTTTCCTTGTCATTCAAAATCTGATTTGAATATATGTGTGTATATTATTTGAATTATTGTAAAAGAAGAATTATTTTGTCAATGACTTTCCCAAATAGAGAATTCTCTTATATCAGACAAATTGGAAGAGACTCCAGTCAGACTCCAAAATTTGTATTCTTTCCAATATCACAAATAGTTTCCAAGAAACATAATCCCTTATACCCTTAAACTGTTTCTCGGTAGCAGTAAATGTAATGGCAATGTTTTCATGAGCTGTAGAAGGCAAAGTGTGTGTGTTGTGGGGTTGGTGTATATTTTGGAGAATACACCAGGATATCTATCTATCTATCTATCTATCTATCTATCTATCTATCTATCTATCTATCTATCTATCATCTATCTTTCTATCTATTAATCTATCATCTATCTATCTATCTGTCATCTATCTTTCTATCTAGCTATCAGATTTTTTTCAGGAAAGCCATTGACAAACTGTTTCCCCTTAATCCTGGCCATAAAAGCTTTACATCATTGGAAGAGACAGTTTTCTGGCATGACATAAATGATGGGGGTCCTGATATTAATGTCAGGACCCATTAATCAGTTATGACCCACAGTTGAAAAACACTAGCATAGAAATAGAGTATGTCATCCATCTAAGGGTAGACAGTTGCAGGGTTGGTTAATTCAGGGGCAGTGATACCCCAAAGAACCTAGGGGCTTTCTGTCTTTCTACTGCCCCTTCTGGGCAAAAGATGGCAGGCACAGTTCCAGGCATCACATCCTCAAACATAGATCCAAAGATAGAACAGTACTTTTTTCTAGCATTTATTTATTTATATTTTATAAATGTGTATCTCTGTGTGTGTGTGTGTGTGTGTTTTAAAATTAGAGGGTAATCTTTTTCCCCAGAAGCTTCTCCTCTCCTAGCCTACTTCCCTGCGGGCCTCATTCATTGTTCAAGTTCCAGCACAACCCATCCCTAAACCAATCAATCACTCACAAGAGCAATGGATGCCTATTTGGTATGGCTGTGGTGTGTTATCAGCACCATAACCAGCAGGGAAGAAACAGTCATTCCCCGGGACAGGGAAAGGGGTTCATTTCTCCTGAGCTTGTGGAAGGCCAGATGCTGGGGTTAATTCCAGCTCTGCCAAAAAGGAATGAATGGTGAGGAAAGCTGTTGGGCAATTAGCTGTTGATGTCTGCCCTACTCGCCAGAGCATATTGACTATACTTCTGTCATAGTGCTAAATGCTATTAGCTTCTCTTATTATTTGTGAGCTTATTTCATCCTTTTGGTAGATTCCAGATTCTCTTAAGGACAGGGGCTTCCTGTTTTTCACCAGGACATGGGATCACGCCTTGCCCTAAGGGGTGATTAGTATTGATTAGTATTTACCAAATTGATTAGAATTGGTCCATGCCCATTGATTAAATGCTTGCTTACTTTTTTATTGAATCTAAATTCTTTAAAATCACGTTATTTGTTTGAATAGCGACACTCTCCCAGTAAAGTTCTGTTTCTTTATTCCCGAAAAATGATTAAGGGCCTTAATCATAAAGGTACTGGCATGAAGTTCCTGTGGGTGCTGTGTGATATAAACTCTAAAAAGACTGTTTACATTCTATGTGGGTGTAGAAGGAAGAAAGGATTCAAATATAAATACGAGTGGGAAAGAAAACTTGTATTGAGTCCATTTCATGCATCTGTTAAAATTTTGAAGACTATCCAGGAGAATTTATCATTTTAAAGGTTATGAAGTGAAAGAAATGACTTGTATATAAAATCACTGTGATTCTGTATTTGAAGTTCCATTTAATAAAAGTGTTCTTAGGAAAACAAATTACCTCAGTAACTGAAAATTCAGTACATTATTATGCATATCACATAATTTCATTTTAAAAATCTTTTTCAATAGAATGAGATCAAAAGACCAGGTTTCGGTTACTAATGTAGTAGGAAGTTTAAAGCCAGTGTTCCAAGTCTTGATGTGTTTTGTAACATAAATGTTTCTCAAGAGCTTATCTTTTTCAATGTAAAGAATTCTTCATATAAATTTCCCTTCCTTTGGTCCTGGTTTAGCGACTGTACTTGTTCACAATTTCACTTTGTCAACTATTATAACTACTGCATAAACATCTGCTTTTTACAAGATTTGAGATAGCCTAACTTAAATTTTCTCTATAAAGAAATACAGTCCTCATTTGCCTGCAGAATGGTCAATTTGTCGGTGTAAATGAGCAGTTCCTACTTTATTCAAGAATAGTTATTTTCCGATCTTTTAATCCTGAAAAACAATAGCAGAAGGAACAGCCAAAATAATTTAGATATTCCTGCAAGTGCCATTTACAATAACACATATGGCTTCTGTTTTGCCAAAACAACATAAAACCATTTGAGCTGAACTCTATAATAAATTTTCGCAGTTGCTTTGTTATTTCATTGTCATTAATAGGCGGTGTCGGGAAGGGAGGCCTCTGCCTCAGGACACAGAAAACTTCGTTAATAGTAAAATAACAATTGCCACCTTTTACTGAGTGCCTCCTGCATGCCAGGCTATGAACTCATCTCTTTGTTTTATTTTCGATAAAACAACTCTAAGGAGCTATCGATATTTATGCTCTAATTTTCATAGGAGTTTTTAAAGAGTTCAAACTACCTGGCCAAAGTTACCGTTCTATAAACAGTTCTAGCAAGGTGTGAACACATTATAAAGTTCATGCCCTTAATTATTAATAGAAATAAATAAATGCATTTTCTGTATAAAGAAGAACATGTACTTGACTAGAATAATCAACTATAAGCACCAGGTTATTTGAGATACAATCAATTTCCAAAAATTCTGCCCTATATACTCCATAAATATGCTCATAATTGTGAAGCCATATATGGCATATATTATAAGTTTTTTATTGGGAAACTGGTCTTTGTACTTGAACAGAAGCTTGAAAATAATCTGATTTTGTGACTTTTTTTCTCTCACTTTCAAGAAGGGAAAGCACCCATAAATTTGAAGTAACTTGTACAATACCGTCCCCTCTTTGGGATCAAAGCCAGAACTGGAACCCAGGTCTCCTAACTCCCCATCCAGGTCATTTCCACCCCACCCATCCCTGCTTCTTAGTAGAAAATCATCAATAGCATTTATAACTTGGGAGTACATTTGGATACATACACACTGTAGAATTCTATAACCTCATACACATAGAAGCAAGGGTTTATGGGTATGGATAAGGGTCATTTGTTGTATTGATAATTACCCACTCTTTTGGAAGAATTTTCTGTGGTGGAAGATTTTGTGCATAATTGTGAAGACGTCTTGCTGAAAGCTTAGCATCCCAGCATTGGAAAGGAATCTAACAGTTTGTCTAGCTTAGCTTCCTCCAAATTAGATTAAAAACCACTTTGGACAGGTGGTCTTCCTTTCTGTCTTTAAAGAGATTTCCTACCTACCTTTTGTAACCTGTTCAAATATTTGCATCCTTTCACTCCCCAAAATTACTCTCTTTCATCTTTGGTGCAATTCTAGACTATTCTTGCTAGTCAAATCCTTGAAAGATAAGGAGAAATGATGTTCCCTTATACTATTGTTCTTAAAATTAATGGGTTTCAGTAATATATATTCTGGTTGGATTTAAAAATAATCATAGAATTTAAACCCACCGTAAAAGCTATGGTCTTAATTACTAAGCCATTTAGATAAACTCATTTATAATATAAAGTTACAATGCATGCGTGTACTAACAGAGTCATTGACCTCTGGTTACTGAAACTCTAGACCCTAGATTGTTCGAGAACTTAGACTCTAGGGGCCAGTTTTGCTTTACTATTCTCACAGATGTTCTAGTGGCTTCAAGGTATACTCACCACTAGCTCCCGCTTGGTCTTGTCTGTTGCTGGCCAAGCTTCTGGAGGCAGGTCAGGAAGCACGGGGGACAGGGGCTGCATGGGGAACATCGGAGGCAGAGGTGGCTGTGGTGGCAGGGGCTGAGGCTGGAAGGGCTGCTGGGGGTGTAGAGGGAGGTTTGTCTGGTGGAGTTGGGTCGGAGTCATGGAATGTTGGCCAGGAACTGGCATCACTGATTGCTGGGGGACCACAGGCTGCTGAGCTGGCACCATGGGGGTGTGGTGATGAGGCTGCAGGGTATAATTCGGGGGATTCTGCTGGGACAGCACGGGAATGATTTGGTGGTGCAGCCATCCGCCCATGGGTTCGTATCCATAGGAAGGGTACCAGTGAGAAGCAGAGAGTCAGGTTTACCATTAGCTCCATTGACTTGCAGCTGGAGAAGTAGCAATGCTTTCTTTGTCATTTTGACAATATAGGTATTTATTCATTTTTTTCCTGTGCAAGAATTCCTGACTGTGTACACAGAATCGACTTTTACAAACTAGATTTCCCATGAATGCCTGCATGTGGCATAGATTTAAGTGTTATTTCACTTAAAAGGGAATTGAAATGCATGCTTAATATTTTAAGGGAATAAAGAACAAAAAATCTGTATTCTGGCTGCCTTATGCTCTGGTACCACTTCAGAGAGGTAAGCACCTTAAGAGAAACAGACATTAGAACACATTTGTTTTAATTTAGTTACATGAAATATAGATTCACTAATGCAACCCTGTCAATATTGATAGCCTGAAAATATCAATTCTACAGAAGAAAGACTTCGGTAGATCTGTGTTAGGGGCTTCCTATTTGTTGGCACCATGTTATATCCGTCACACACGTTTTTCATGTTTCTTCACATACTCTGAGGGAAGTATCTTCACCCTCATTTTTATAGACAAGGTCATGAAGATCTAGAAGTTCCTGAGCCTGGCTGAGGTTGCAGAGTCATAATCTGCTTAATTCCACAGCTGCTGCTCTTCTTTGTAAGAGCAAAGCAGAAAAACTAACGGGGCACAATTAATGATTTGCTTTCACAGTGAAAGAAATAAAAGATGCAGAAACACTGTCCCTCATCTTAGAAACACAGATTTTCTGGTCAAATATGTCAGCATTTTAAAGTTTAACAGAAAATTTTGGCTCTCATTGTCATTAACACTTTTCCTCAGCTTCTCTGAGGAAACGGACTCACAGATGGCCCCCTGAACCCATGAAAGGCATTCCTTTCTACATAGCATATACCCGGCTAGCCACAGATCCAGGGACTCCTTCAAGTAGAACTAGAGCATTTGAGATCAATACAACAGACAGTTATTAACTGTGCTCAACTTATACTTGACAAAGCACCTTTTCTATTGCTCAACTATTTTGCTCCCCAGACGGTATTTTGAAATGTGGGTATTATGATTATTTCCCTTCTCCAAATGAGAACACCAACGTTCCAAAAAGAGAAATGATTTGCCCAAGGTTGCATGGTTAGTATGGGGTTAAGCTGAGCCTCAAACCTGGTTTCCAGAAATCTCACGCTTTCCATTGCTCTGCAGAATGTCTCATGGACCACTTGGTCACCAATTTTTCAGTAAAGGCAAATGAGGGAGACAAGTAGATTGTGAACATCCGAGAATCAGGAGTTTTATAGCTGGAAAGGGTCTTAAATAACATCTTACCTGATTCTCCACATTCTGTGGGGTGGACTAGAACAAAGCTGTCCAGCCAGAGTTCACTTTCTTCCCTATCATGCACCCTCCTGACTGGCAGTTCATGATGGATAATTTTATAGCCATATAAGGAGAAGAGACCGAGGTAGAGAAGTCCAGGTAGGAATGTGCTGGGGCAATGCAGGCTTGAGATGACCCATCAGGGCTTAAGCAGGAAGCTGGTAGTGGGAACTAAGGAACATCTTGAATGCAGAATCAACACACTATTCTTTACAGAGCCCAGGGCATGAACTCCAACAATGGTCAAAATCAGTAAAGAGAAAAATTACCGCATAGCTGAAGTTGATATAACCAGGGTGCCCCGGATGAGGTGGTAGCTTTTATAGGAAGGGGAAAAGAAGAAGAAAAAGGAAGAGGAGAAGAGGAGAGAGAGAACAGATTGAGTCAATAAGCAATTGTTCCCATTAAGAGAGACTGAAACTACTTTTTAGAAAAACTGTATAGTGCAGAATATATTTGAGGTTTTCTTTTAGTTTGAACATGTATGCTGGGTAGGAGAGAAGCCGTCTTGTTTTAAAGAGGTCCAGAGCAACTAAATGACTTTCCCAGGGGTTGTAGTCTTATGGTGGGAGACCTGGAATCAGAAATCAGTGCACATCCTCCAGTGATCTTTGGACACCCCTCCATGTGGTGAGTCCATCCTACTCTCTCCTACCCACTATTCCACTTCTTGATGGAACTCACTCCATGTTGGGAAGAGAGAGATGTTTCTCCCACACAATTACAAAAGAGTAACAAGAAGAGAACTGTCTCACACACCTTCCCTTACAGATCAGAAGGTGGATAAGTGCTTAAGTATCAAGGACATTCCTCATAATTGGCATGAAAAGTAAATAACGCATCAACAGTAACGAACCAACTACAGGGGAATTATTGATGACAGAACAAGATGGGTGCAGTACAGTGGAAACATTATAAATCCTATGGAAAATGAAAGAGTTGACTTATGAAGTTTGGGCTCATTATTCTGTCAATATATTTTTTTTTGAGAGGGCATCTCTCATATTTATTGATCAAATGGTTGTTAACAACAATAAAATTCTGTATAGGGGGGGTCAATGCTCAGTGCACAATCATTAATCCATCTCAAGCCTAATTCTCGTCAGTCTCCAATCTTCTGAAGCATAACAAACAAGTTCTTACATGGTGAACGAATTCTTACATAGTGAATAAGTTCTTACATGGTGAACAGTGCAAGGGCAGTCATCACAGAAACTGTCGGTTTTGATCCTGCATTATGAATTATAAACAATCAGGTCAAATATGAATATTCATTTGATTTTTATACTTGATTTATATGTGGATCCCACATTTCTCCCTTTATTATTATTTTTATTTTTATTTTTAATAAAATGCTGAAGTGGTAGGTAGATGCAAGATAAAGGTAGAAAACAGTTTAGTGTTGTAAGAGAGCAATTGTAGATGATCAGGTGTGTGCCTGTAGACTATGTGCTAATCCGAGCTAGACAAGGGCATTAAAACATCCACGGATACAGATTTCTCTCAAAACAGGGGGGGTGAGGTTCTGAGCCTCACCTCTGTTGATCCCCAATTTCTCACCTGATGGTCCCCTGCGACTGTGCCTGTCTTAGGTTGTTCCTCCCTTGAGGAATCTTACCCGTCTCTGGCTGACCAGTCATCTTCAGGGGCCATACAGGGATCTGTCATGTTTTTATGGCAGAATTTTTTTTTAATTAAGGTATCATTGATATACATTCTTATGAGGGTTTCACATGAACAACATTGTGGTTTCAACATTCACCCATATTATCAAGCCCCCCCCCACACACCCCATTGCAGTCACTGTCCATCAGCGTAGTGAGGTGCTACAGAGTCACCCCTCATCTTCTCCATGCTCTCCTGTATGGCAGAAAAAAATTTAAGTTCAAAATAAAAATACTATCTGAATAATTGTCTAAACCAGGACTGTCTGTCCATCAAAAGTGGAGGTCAAGTGACTGATGCCTGCATTTTGGAATTCTGGTTGGCCCCAGAGCTGGGGAGAGAGAATCATGCAGAATCTCTCAGACAGCAAGCTCATTAAGGCTCTATTGTTTTTAAGTGCTCATATTTCATAATAGTGTTTAATTTGTTCTCATCTGAGTGTGAATTATTTTAGCAGGATAGGTAACTGCTTTTCCTATACCTTGTGGGTGTAAGTCCTCGGAGAGCAGGGCTGTTGAGTTGTGGAGTGGAAAAGTGACTGAATTTGTAATGCAGGGAAGCCTCAGGGGCCGAAGAATTGCCCTAATGCGGGATGTCAGGGAGGCAGAGCACACCTCTGGGTCTTGTGGGTAAGAGAGGAAGAGAGGGGGCAGATATGCAAGCTTTTCTGGCTTCTGGTTGTTTCAACTGCTCTTAATGCCACCAAAAAGCAGATGGATCCTGCTTCGCCTGCATGTGATCTCAGCTCTCTGACCTTATGTACCTGCATCTAGAGAGAATATCAGACTTGCTGGTCCTTGGCACCTCTGAATGTAAACTATATCCGTACGTACTGGGTACAGGCAGGGCTCTGGAGCCTCAGGGAAGTTGCACTTAGTAGGTACGCCTGAAGGAAGGCAGCCTCTGAAGAGGGGAGTTGGTTCAAGAAGGGAATTCCTAACACAGAAATCTTGCAGTCTGAAGGATAACAGCAGTGGAGTTTGGAGGGCAGGAAGGGATTTGGACACTTGTGAGAAATTGAGTTTTAGAGAAAACTGGCATTTTTGTAGCATTTGCCTATGGCAATGAAGAACTTTTTCTGGAAGCCTGTCAAGGTCTCTGTCAAGGTCTCTTCCAGAAGTGTTCTCTGTCTAGAGCTGGGCGGTGATATTTACATGCTAGCTGTTTCAGCAGAATCTCCTGGAGGGTTGGTTACAATTCAGAGTCCAAGGCCCCACCGCAGTGGCACTGAATCAGAATTTCTGTGGAAGCATCTGAGAATCAAGTTTTTTTTGTATAACAAGCATTTCAAAGTGTTTCTTAAACACAGAGACATTTGAGGACTTCTGATCTTTTACTGTTTCAAACTCGAATGCTTACCAACAGTAGGGCAGATTCTTATTTCCAAGCCTGTGTAGTTGGACATTGACTTGTACAGCTACTGTTTTACTCACAGGCATGGCAAAGGCTGCTCCCAGGAGGCAGGCAGATAAAATCCAGATCCCCATTTCTGGATGGCCCTGAAATATAAGTCAACACCCACTTTTCTTATCTCTCTGCAAATATGGACATAATTAATAATTCATAAAACCCACATAATTTGTATTAGTCAGCTGCTAGTAAAAAGGATGGGATTATTCTTTGTGAGGTTACTTCATTCCTACATGATTTCCAGTCCTCAGCCCACTTCATTGTTTCTGGAGTCACAGTAGTGATAAAGATGCTTTTTATTTAGGTTGAGAGCTGAACAAGTTGTAGGGACAGGAATAATCCATCATCACGTGATTGTGCATGCCATTTCCCTATACCTGTGTAGCCTATAGAGTCGTAGAAGCTAAGTGTAGCTTATAATTAACAACCAAAAGAATTGAGTTGACTCTGAAAGTGGATAAAATCAAGGAGCACAGTATTTGATCATTTTATAAGCAGAACTACCAGAAACATTTTTTTCTACAATCTTCCTGAGCATTGCTACTGTTGAGAATAAAAACTAATCATCTGAGAAAAGACATTAAATAATTTGCCAACATGGAGTAAGGAAGGAGTGGAGTGAAGTTGCAGGGGCTCCAACTGGGATGACTACAGGCAAGCCTCTCAGGTAACATCTCTGAGGTCTAGATGTGGAGCAAAGATGTGGATGAACAGAAGGGAGAGGATGGCGCTAATATTCTGTGAATTTTGTGAATTTTGAATGACTTCTACCTAAAAGATGTCATATCTAGTCATTGGCATCTTCCTTTTGTTTGATACTGCACTGTAATTATTCCACAAATAAGACTCTTGGGACATGAAGCAGGACAGGCAATCCGAAAACATGCACATTGCTTTGTGGTACAAATTATTGACTTCAAAAATGATCAGAAAGATCGTAGATTTTGCATAGAAAGTGAACATCATGTGTAATAATGCTGGCTCTGAAAGTACACAGACATTTTGTACCTCCTAAATCTGTTTTTTTTTCAAGTTTGAATTAATGAGAAAAATGATTTAGTTGATGTTCTATTTGATGTAATTAGATACAATGTTTTTCAAAGTAGTGGCTCACAGCCTGTTAAAAAATTATTTTTTATCTTAATTAGCAAGTAATTAAAATAAATATTTTGCTGAGAAATTTGGCTCTAAAAAGTAGATTCTGGAACTAAAGTATAAAATAATATAAGCAAGCACTTTGCTGTATTGGAAAGTAAAATGATTCATTTAAGTGGTCAGAGTCTAATTTAACTATGGAGCAACTAAAGAAGTAACAGAACATTGACAGCATAAAGTGTTACAAATGCAGAATAAACTTGCATCTCTTGAACATGAAATGCAGAAAAATAAATAAGCACTATAGGAAGAATACCAAATTATGAATAAAATCCTCATACATTTTAAATATATATATGCAAAGTAAGTTTCTGTCTGAGACTCAGGGATGCTTGATTCTTTTGATTTCTCCCAACTAAGAACTCAATTTATGTTATTCACAGCACCTAGAACAGCCAATCAGGTTTCTGAAGGAAAAACACATTAAGTATAAGTACAAACCCCTATATCACGAATTTTTAAAAGCTATGATCGAACATAAGGCTGCATGTTGTGATTAGTGCCTAGAGTCTTTCATTGTGGCAATGATAGGTTTAACAGGCAGAATATTTCATCAGGCCGTTCTTAAGTTGGCAGGCAAGTTGACTGCACATGTTGATGTATTCAAATTTACTGTTAAGAAGCAGCTATGTCATTGTCTGTTCCCTGGTTCTAGTAAACACAACATTGTCCATTACAAAGAAAGACATGTTAGAGGGCTGAGTTTCTATGGTGTAATCAACATGTCCTGTTAGGGTTCCCCTGCCCTTTCAGATCACGATAAATTGATTCAAATCCCTTTACTGATAAAAACCTCCAAAATGTCCCTAATATTTCTCTGAGAGATCATAGTTTTGGGACCACCAGTGCTCTGTTTTCTACTTCCATTGGAGTTATTTTCTCTGTTCCCTGTGGCCATTCTTTATCACCATTCTGGTGTCCACCAAAACAGGGGGCAACATCCCTTCTCTCTGGCCCCAGCCTGCAACTCATCTGCCATCCAGGTAGCCATGAGCTCAAGGTCATCACAGGGGCAAAACTCCTACTGAGGATCTGAAGGACAAGGCAAGGAACAAAAATGTATTTTGATCCTTGCAAATAAATGTGCGTGCCACAGGGGACATTGCCCTGGCTCCCTGGCCCACATGGCAACTCAGCCTCCCTCTATAGGATGGCTCTTCTTTGCCCACGTCCTTCTCATCCTTCTGGCCCAATCCCACATTGTCTTAGAAGCAATCCAAGTTCCTCCCTCTTTACTGCCCCTGGGGTTGCATTGTCCCCGTGTTCTCAGCAGCCTCCCCTTTGCTTAAACAACCAAACCAAGCCCTTCTCTATCTAAGAGGATCTCTGATCCAGCCAAATGTCTTTTACTCTTCTACCTTAGAAAAGCATATGGATCTTTTCTTTTATTCTAGGATCTTGCAGCAAGTGATAGGAGGTAGCTAAATGAGTTGTCCATCAATATTAGATCAATAAAGGAAATACTGAATATATACCCAGGTACTCTTGGAGGTGTAGCCAGATCTCTTTGAGTACTTAAATAATATCTTTCAAGTTTGCATACGTACATATGTTTTTATATAGATGGTCCACATTGGCTAAATTACATTCAAGGACAAAATATCCATGAAAGGCAATGAAGTATTATGAAGAGCTGGAGGCTTAGACTTGCGTGGGTCCTGACCCAAGCTTCCCCAAGGGGTGAGGGACCATTGACAAGATACTTAGCCTACCTGAGCTTTAATTTCCTCATCTGTAAAATGAGGATAATGATAAAACCTACCTAAGAGAATGAGTGTGTAAATGAATGAAAGACATCTCTGGGGGAAATGCAATCCTCTCTGACCTCATCACTTGGCACACAGTAAATGTTTTAAAAAATGCTAATAAATAAGATTGTAAGGTGATCTTTGGGGACGAATTAGTAAGGAATGAAGAACCATTGTGGAGAAAGGTTGACCTTTTAATCATGAGACAGAGCGAAAAATTGCAAAGAAGAAAGTGGAAACTTGTAACAGGCAAAATGTGTGAATGAAAACAAACACAGAATATAGTTCTAAAAGCCAATTGTGTCCCGGGTTTGCACTTATTTATGAATATTTTTTTTGGTGAATGATGTATCAGAGGCAAGATTCCCTTTGAAGAAAGTTGCAGAACGGGTTTGAGGGGAACTGCTTGGATGAGGAAGGGGCGGGGTGGGAGGTGCACTGCAAGGCGGTAAAACAGGAGGAAGAAGAAGGAAAATGTAGATCATATTATATTCTTTTTTGATTCTTTTTCCTGTTTTATTTCATTACATGTATTAGAGTGCCTGGAAAGATTCAGGACATATTTTTTCCTACAAAGCTGTGGTTAATCTCTCCTAATTAAGTCATCGGTGAACTGTTAGTGGTCTTGTAGTTTCACAAGATCTATTTCATTACTGTTTCACCTTTCAAGAATGAGGGATCATATATTTGGCTGCAAGGATCAGTAGATCCTTTATTGTGGCCTTAATTTCTGTGGTCCACTGGATAGGGAGTTATTGCCAATTCACCATGGACACTGGTTCAGGCCTTGATGACAAATACAGCTGAAATGATGTGGTTCTTTCTATTTATTGTCCCCCATTGCATATCTTGAGTCATAGAGTATTAAAATCCAGATCTCTCTGCTTGAAATCTCTTCCACATATGCAGTTTAAAAGTTACTCAATGCTTTGGGAAGAAAAAACAATTTCAATTGACAATTGTTTCCTATAAGCAATTATTTCATTTGTGAATAAGTTGACTTTATGAAACAGAATTTACTAGATTGAATACTTATTTTGTTATGTAGAGGCTATAACATTTTCACAGCATTTGTGTTCTTGTTTTTCTTGCTTTCTGATGTCAAATATTTTCTTCTTTTTTTTAATATAATCACTGTTTTAAAAATGGGTCATAAGCATGAAATATTTTCCTCTATGGCAATATCTCTCAAACAACTGTGACAATATGACCCTAGACTATGTCTTAATTCACTTATACATTAGCTCCAAATATATGTGTTGAATACCTATGAACCTGAGACCGTTTGGTTACTATAGGGGGAAAATCCATGCATGAATTTACTACTGTTCCTAAAAACTTTTCTCCAAAATGATAACTGAATGAACACCCTTAAATTATAGGTTCCCATTCTTACTTAATGGGAAGGAGGAGGGTACAAGAAAAGTCTATAAAAATAACATATCAGGGTACCTTCTGACCCAGAACTAGCTGTTCCAGGTCCCTCCCGAGCCCTGTAGGATCAAGCAGAGGCTGCAAAGCAAGCCGTTTGTGTGGAAGGACCTCAGGCTGTGAGGCCTTCTACTCTTCGGCACAATCAGGAACCAGATGGTTCCTATCTGCCAGTGTTCAGAGATGAGGAAAGCATGGGGTAATCCCAGGCGGCAAGAATCTGACCCAGTGCTATTACACTCCTTCATTTGGGCTCAAATACTTACAATAAAGAGAGGCCATGGCTGTCAAGAGCCGAAGCAGTCTCAAGCTCTGAGAGGAAGCATGACTTAAAGGCCTTCATCCCTGCAAGGCCTGGCCTCAAACAGTAGGCACTCAACAACAACACATTTATGTATACATATATGTAAATTTAAATATATGTATCATTTCTGTGTGGTGCTTGATAAATGTTTTTAAATGCCCTTGCCCATATTTTGTAGCAGTTATTCTTTTTCTCGCGTTGCAGCTCATCGTACTTTGCTCTTCCCGGGTTGCTTTGCTTGCAGCTTTTCCCCTTCCGATTTGCTACTTCTAATTTACAGTGTGCCGGAAAGTCCTCTGCCCAAGCTTGCTAGGAGCGTGTGTGTGGACTGCAAGGAGAGGGAGGCCGTAAGCAGTGTTGACCCGGGACCCTCCCTTTGGAGAAAAGCTAAAAAATTTCCGTCTTGTGGCCTTGATTTTTTGACTGTGGGAAGGATGTT